CTCACAGGATGCCACCCAAAATGTGGAATGATAATGGATGATGGCATGACACCTGGAAGTCACTATAGCTCTGGTAGAATCCATAGTATGTGATGGCTATGACAGCCAACTCAGTCTTTGTAGACTCCTAAACTCTGACAAGATAATGGGACATGATAACCTACCATTTTCTGCTTTATCAGATCACATCTGAAGTTCATTGCTTACTGCTGGATTTAAATTTTAAGGCAAATTTTTATATTTTAAGACATTGACAAATTGGAGGACATCAGATGAAGGTGAGCAGAATGATGTGGGCTCTTTACATATCATCCTAAGCTGCAGACTATTCAGAGCTCTACAGTTTTCAAGAGCTTTGTCTGCAGTTGTCATACAAATGAATTCCTTCACGAAACCATGTAGTAGGCCAATGGGACAGATTATCTCTGCACTGGTGATATGGTTAAAAAATTCTTTTCTTTCTTATATGCCTCCCTAAATATTAAGAATCTGTGGTTTCTTAGCACAAGCAGTACTGTGCAAATATTTGCTAACCAAGTGAATTTTGTTTCAGAGGTTAGTAATAGGAATGAAGAACTAAAGTTGCAGGGGCTAATATTAGAAGCTTAGCATTGTTAGAAGCTTGGAAGTTATTGCATGAACTTAACCACCACCAGCACCAAGAATAAATCAAGTGATGCCTAGATGGCCATTTGTTAGGAATTTAGTCTCCAATGCCTAGTACTTGGTAAGCAGCAAGTGTTATGGGTATGTCAAAGATGAACAAATCCTGGCCTCTACACTTAAGCATACAGGGTAGGAAAGGTTGATATATAAATGGGCACATGCGCCAATAGATGTATATACAGCTGAAAGGATTAAAGAGTAAGAACTTGTCAGGAGGAGCCTAGGCAAAAGGGAAGTCTTGAAAAATGAATTTGTATATATATAGAATGTGCTTGGGATCTTACCAATGCTAGATGTCATTGTAGAAGACTCCTATTTTGAGTATGAGACAATTGTTCCTTTAAAAACTTCTAGGTCCTTCAGAAGTGCCTAAGATTTTACCATATCTGATGATAATTCTCTGGGAGATCCTGCTGATCAACTTTTTTGAATAAAATAGTGCTAGTTCTCCAGCTATATACCAGATACATTTTATGGGGTGGAGTAGGGAATGGGATCAAAAACAGTGGGGGGAGGGAAGTGCACTGGACCATGGCACACGGGTAATTTGGTGATTGGAAGCCCACAGGATTACAACTGAGATGGAAAAATGCACAAAATGATGTAAATATAAATTATTAAATTACTTTTAATAAAGTGCTAGTTCTCCACAAGTGATATACTAAAAAGCAAAACAGGTGATACAATCTTAGAACCTATTCATTTAAGCAATTCTAAGCAGAAGTAAATCTAGAACTAACAGATTTGAAAACCAATTAAGGAAGTGCTGGTAACTCACAAATCAAATCCAATTTTATCATCTTTGTGCTTAAATTTAGGACTCCTACTAAACATTTTTTTTGAGAAGGGGATCTTACCCTAATGAAAACTTACACCGATTTTGCCATTTTTGTCCTCTTGCCTTTTCTTCACAGCGCTTATTACATTTCTTTCTTACTATAATGTAAGCTACCTGAGGCAAATAAACTGTCTTGTCCATCGTTGTATTCTCAGTGCCCAGAATAGTACCTGGCACATACCATAGCTTTCATTCAGTAATTGAATGAGACTCGTTAGCACATGAACACTAGATACATACTTGTGTGTCACTTGCAAGTCCTTTTGATTTAACTTGGGTTTCCATTCCATGTAGTTGAAGCAAAACTTTTAACTTCTACAGAACTTCACATAATTTCACCATTTGTGAAAAATAAAGTTTTTGGGAAGGTTCATTTACTAAATTCCAGGGGTAGCTGGAATAAAGGAAGAATGAGTACTAAGTACTCTCTTGGCTTTTTTAATCCTGTCCTGTCCCTAAGGTCGAGACTTGGTCAAAGAGAGTGATTCTTACATCTTCAGTGGTATTCACAAATACTAAGTCCATCGTGAACAACTTGTCTATCACCTTCATAGAGCCATGCGAGGATAGAATAGTGACAAAAAGTTAGATGTCCGTTCCCCATTACAACCATTACCAATAGGAGATACTGAATTTACTGTCAGAGGTAGGGGACACTCACTAATTTATTTTCCACACTCTGGGATAGCTACATACACCTTCTGAACTTGGGGCCAGGATAACTCTTTTTTCATCATTATTATTTTTTTTAGATTTATTTATTTGTGCATACAGAACTGAGGTATAGGCCAGAGGCTCAGGGGCCATGAGAGGCTTCACCAGAGACAGAGCGGGGAACAGAACAGGCAGATAGAAGAAGTACACTGCTGAGGGGAGCAGCGGGTGGGTCAGGAGAGGTCTGCCACACCATGCGGTCACCTCCGGAGCAGGTGGGAATGAACTCATGCAGAAGCGGCTTTAGATTCTCAGTGCTGTGCTTTAACCCACTGTACCACCAGGGAGGGCCAGGATAACTCTTTTTTTTGGCTATTCTGACTCTTGGTCTGAAGACTTAGAGATTCACTGAAAATACATATTTTTCCCCTTTTTATTTTAGCTTGAACTATATTATCATACTGTTATTAAAAGCCCACTTGAAATTTGTTAACAGGGAACTTAATAAAAAATTAATTTTCTTTTAGATGTTCAGTGTGACTCAGAATGATCAAATTGGAAACATAGGAGTTATCTTTGATTTTTCTCTTCCCTACCTTTAGATCACCAAAATTTTCTATTTTCTCTCCCTTTTCACCATCGTTGCTAAAGACTTATCAATTTATGTCTGAATTGGTGTTAACAGCTTTGTAAGTGACTTCCAGTTCTAATCCTTATTTACCATCACACCATGTAATTTTATTTTATTTTTTATTTTATTTTTTTTTTAGATTTATTTATTTGTACATACAGAACTGGGGTACAGGCCAGAGGCTCAAGGGCGGTGAGAGGATTCACCAGAGACAGAGTGGGGAGCAGAACAGGCAGATCGAAGAAGTACACTGCTGAGGGGAGCAGTGGGCGGGTCAGGAGAGGTCTGCCACGCCATGTGGTCACCTCCGGGACAGGCGGGAATCGAACTCATGCGGAAGTGGCTTTAGCTTCTCAGTGCTGTGCTTTAACCCGCTGCGCCACCAGGGAGGGCCACACCATGTAATTTTAAAAGCACTTTCTTTCATCTGGTGAACCCCAATTAAAAAAACACATGACACTGGAGTTCAAGATCATCTAGTTTCACCCCAAGTCTCTAACAGTATCATCATCTATTATTACCATTATAATATAACCTCAAGTTTTCTATTCTAGTAAGGTTGATACACCAACCCCAGCAATTTGTTAAAAGGGACCATCTATGGAGGTAAGCATTTGAGGATAATCACAGGAATATCCAAATTCTGTAAATTCTTCAAGATCCAAATGAAGCGTATTTTTTTCTAGGTCTTTCACCTTTGACACTTCTATTCCACTCATTTTGCTAGGGTGATATTCCATCTAGAAATTTAATCAAATTCTTTCATGTTTCTTTGCTATACATTCATATAGCCAAGTAGTAAGCTCCTGATCAGTCAAGGATTTTCCCATCTCATTTGTTCTTCAATCAAATTATTCAACCTTAATTAATCAAACCCATAAGTACTTTAAAATTTTTTCTTTGCAGATAAGGATGCCTGCCATGTATTAAGGCAAAAGGACAATCATCTTGTATTACCAAAAAATATATTTGTAAAAATTTACTTTTGCATTTGAATAACAATTGAATATTTGGGAGTAGACAGATGACACATTTTCCTCCTTGCTTTATTATTTTGTACTTCTGAACTTATGTGTTATAAGAGTTGTGACCTGTTCCCTCCAAATAAACCAATGAATCAATTTATGAATGTTGGAAGTAAGAAAAATTAAAATATTAATGAAGAATTCTCTGCAAATAGAATGTATTTGCTACTTTTAGAGTTAAGAAACCTTTATGCATAAAAACTGGACATGTCAAAGAGAATATATCTGAGGTTCAGAGGTTGTATCAATAGAACAACACTTAATAAAAGCAGCAGAAAATACTCTCAGACCAGCAGGACGTTCTTTAATGTTAAAGCCACCACTGCAGGTGATTTGTATGACCTTATAGTGATAGCAGAAAACTCAGCTTTCTAAGAGTTAAAATGTGCTGCTTATAACCAAGTAGTTAGGAAGTGTCTGTGTGTAACAGAGACTGAGTTCAAATTTTTTACAGGATAGAAAGTGTCCTCAGATGAAGTGCTGGGGAAAAAAAAGTTGGCACAGAGAGGCAGAATTATAACTAGTGCAAGATTTACAAACTCCATCATGTTTAAATATGATGATAAAAACCAAATAAACATTTTTTAGTTAAAAAACTAAATTTCAAAAACTAAAACTTATCTATTAACATTTCCTTGTCAGTTTAGCTTTGTTTTTAGAGATCTTACACAGGTATTCAAGATAAAAATAAAGTAGCAAAGTTTTAAGGAACATATGCCAACTTAGGATGTTATCTTGAACCAATGTTTTTTTTTAAAGAAGTGGACAAATTGTCATGTTTTTTCTTAAAGGAAATTTTTATATATCTTACCAAATATTTATATATCTTAGCACAGAGTATCCCATGTAAAAACATGCCACATCATTAAAAAAAATAATAAGGAATCTTGAAAGAGGAAAAAAACCTCTAGATTGAATACAGTAGTTGTACCCTTCTGATTATCCTTTAGGACAACCAGAGAATTTTTCCAACTTGTACCTTTAGCCAACCAGGGTAAATAACTTGAATTGTTAAGTACTAAAATAAAAGGTTATTTACAGTAATTCCCTAGTTATCTACAACTTTGTTCTTGCAGCAGGTACCAATTTCTTAAGATGAGTTCTTACAAGCTCCAGAGTCAATATATTCCAATAACAAATTTATTATTCATATATTATCTCATACATAATTAATATAAATATTTCTAACAAAATTCAAAATGTTCAACGTAGCTGAGTTCTACGCTTAAAAAGAAGTATTCAATCTGTTCTCTTCTGAGTTCACTTCTCCAAAAGATCAGCACTTAAGGACTTCTGGAGCCTAGCAATGTTGGCATCTAATGCTGCAAGGCCATTTCGGAAGTCTTGCTCATCATGAGACGTGAATGTTGAAAATGAAGAGATGCTCCAGTCAGATGTCAAGTCAGAATTCAAAAAGCTACCATCAGAGATGGCACTACCTTTCACTTGAATACTGCTGCTGTGGCAGGTGGAGGGGCCATGGCACGAGACCGGCTCCTGTGGTTCTTCACTGGCAACAGGGATCTTATTGATGGCTTCCTTTATTTTCTTGAGAAGCTGCTTGTCCTCCATATCAGCTGTTTTGGACAGTTTCTCAGGTGCATCATCTGCTTCCTTTCTGGAAGAGGCATAAACTCCAGATGCACAGAGTTTATTTCCTTTGTCAGAGACAAGTCCACTGTTGCTGACAAGTTGTGATGGGGCTACACTGATGTGTGATTGGGGAGATAATCTTTTCGATAGTGACTTGCTTTTAGAAGAGCTTCTAGCAAAAGGAATGTAAATTGTATTATCCAAATTACATTCACTGTCTATTAGCGTCGTAATTTTGCTTTCCTCATCAGAATTCTGTTTTGAAAGGGTAGAAATGATTCCAGGGGGTGATATTTCCTCAATGCTCCTAGAGTTACTATGCTGAAAGGCTTTGGAGGGCAGAACATTTTCATAGGGTCTATCTGGCATGTTTTCCTCGTTTATTTTGGAAAGTGGTTCTAAATGTGTATAAGTGTTATCACTTTCTAACTTTTTTAGGTAGCTCATTACAGAAGTGTGAGCAGGGACTGGGTCATGTTGAGGTTGCTTGTCATAAATATTCAGAAGTGATTTGGTAAGGTTACTCCCAGGCTTGCATCGAGCACTGTCCACACTAAGATCTGAAAGAAGTTCTGCCATACTGCTTTGTAAAGTTCTGTTAAGAAGAATTTAATACACCAATTATTTTTTTACACATTTTTCTTATAAAAAATAGTTCATCTTTATAAGGAAGAATTTGAAGCAAGTGCCTGGTTCTTATGGAAAAACTAAAAACACAAACAACAGGATGAGCAAGAGAAAGAGTAAACTTGAATGATAAAAGATCCTGATCTACATCAAATCTAATATTATTATATCTAAAAATATAAGTTCAGAAATTTTTTTCTTTTAAGGGATCTCTTCTTTATTCTTAAACAACACTGCAAAAATAGTTGGCATTTATTAGCATGTAAATTATTTCTCTCTATTCAAAATGTGTATGTTAAGGGGACACTGGAAGAATTCCAGGAAAAAAAATATAGTTATCTGGCAAAATTATGTATAAGCAACACGTAAGTGCCAGGAAAAGTGTGCTAGAAGGAAACCAGATATAGTTTAAAGTCAGACAGAAATGGAAATCAAATCCTAGCACGATTGCTAGTTGGGGTCTTGAGCAAGTCATTCAATCCTTCTGAATTATAAGTACCCTCAACTGCAAAATAAAGATACCTATCTCAGAATTATAATGAACATTAAATAATATAAAACAAAACATCAGGTTAAAATGCTTAGCACAATCTCAGGCTATCTGGGTGAACTGATGAGTCTTTATTAGTCTTATCAAAGTCATTTTGTATGGCTAGGAACCTTTTAATTGGTTTGAACTGAATCATATAAGTAATACAGACTGATAAGAAAAAGGAACACAATATTTTTTTTAAAAGGCACAAGGATATCAACAGAGAATTTTAAAAGATTATAACTAGTCTAATAAGCATGTTTTTAAAAGGTTCAACTGTTGATCAGGAAATTCAAAATTTTATAGTGTGATTTTGTTTGTCTACCAAATTAACACAGTAAAAAACAGAATAATATCCACTACTAGAGGAACTTGGAGAGTCAGGTACTACTACTAATGGGGATACATACTGGTATAATTCTTCTGAGGAATAAACTGGCAAAAACACTTTAAAGACTTCTAGTCTTTAATGAGGTTAATATAGTAACATCATAATGTTTGATCCACCAGTTTGCTATTTTGGGAATTTACCCTGTTGATATAAAACAAGATGACTACCCAAAGATATATTCCCATTTATAAAAACATAATTTATTAGAAAATAGATGGACATAATATCTTTGTCTTTAAACACAATGCAGTGATTTACATAAATTATGGTATAACTGCATACTAGTCATTTATAGTCCATATGTAAAACATACTTATGATGGGGAAATATTTATTATATATGTTAAATTTTTACTTGAAAACCATTAGTGAAATGGAGACAACATCAATTTTGTAAAAAGAACTACACATAAAATACTGAATACCAAATAAAATACTGAAAGGAAATCCTTATACTTAAGAGTTAGCAGTGATACGTCTCTGATGACAGGTGAGTTATTTTTTTTCCCTTCAAAGGAGAAAAGACATTTTCCATCCTGGCCTGGAGTGTCATCTTGAATGTTATATTTTGCATTCTGATAGCTCTTCAAATGGCAATGGCTGTGCTACACTCTCATGCCTCTTTTAAGAAGTTAAATAGGGCCAATATTGAAAGATAAAAAATTTGCAATAGAAACATATCTTTATAGGGATGCTATAATCAGCAATGACCCACTAATTAGCTAGATCAAATGTTATATTGCAATTATTATTTTTATTTAGTTTTAGAAAAGGAATATTTATGTTTTGGTTTCTCTTTCCAGACTTCGCAGTGATTTTTCAGTGCTTAGAAAACTGCCACATTTTCAAAATAAGAAATGCAGGGTTCTTCTCAGCTACTTATAAAAAGATACTAATTTATATAAATAGCAGCACTTCTAAGAGTGCACTTACAAGCGTTAGAAGAACATCCACTACTTACTTACTGGAAATATATTATTTCCTCACATTTTAATGTGCTCTTGTAAAATGTAAAAAAGTGATAGATTTACTTCAAAATTACTGAAAGTTGGAAAAGAAGAGAAAGATGTGTTAGAATGTTTGTTTGGAATTTGTATATTTGCCTTCTAGTTAGTTCCATTATTATTTCCCAATAGTCTGAGAAAGGCATCAGAAATTTTGTGAAATATCTTTTCTGAGAGATTATTAAAACACATTTACAAAAACACACTCATGACTACAGGGAACATGGATGGGCAGATAAACATGAGAATTTATATGTATTTCCATAGATTGCTGCTTTACCCACTAATGTCAAAAGTTAAAATTAAAGTGGTCACAGTAGTACACCTACAATAGTACAGATGTTCCTAATTAAATGAATTGGACAAACATTCTCTAAATCATCAACATGGGTTACTTTAGATCCAAATAAGCTCAAATACTTTTTTGTTCTGTTTTGCTTTTTAATTTAAAGGACAAAACAAAAACTTCCATGAATGGGTAAATTCAGACTTTTTAAACTGCTGATAAGTCTTCAGAAATATGAGGAAAGTATAAAACACTCTATCATTATACCACTATGCTTCCAGTGTCATTGAAAGAGCAGGTAGTTAGTAGCCATAGGCAAGATTTATGCCCAGCCTAGTCTTTTTAAAGGTCTTGACAACAATATAAAAGAAACTGATATAAAAGAAACAGCGTTTTCCTATCAGAGTCTTAAAAAGAATAAAACATTTAATATTTTAGATACAGTCTTTTCTAAAAGCAGATAATACATAAGAATTAGAGCTTCTCTAATTCCTATTTCTAGTGTAGACTAATGAGAAATCACCAGTTGTAAATGAACCCATTTTTACCTCTATTAAACACTGGAAAAGGAAGATTGTGTTATTTTTAAAAGAATGAGCAGTCACAAAGGTGTCTTCTCCAAAGGTAGGAGAATCTCTCAATAATGGATCATATTCTCTCAGGGAGAAGCTGTCCTTTTCAAACAGGAAGTGAGGCTGAAGAGAATGTTGAGGCTCCAACTAGCTGCAAAGTCAGCTAAATTCCTTCATTTCTTATTCTAATTTCTAGAAAAATCACACTATTATTTACTTTGAAAAACCTATCTTACATTTTTGTTATCAATTTTCTTGCAAATGCACCAATAGGTGTTAAATAATATTTAGTTAAGACCATCTCTCAAAAAAGATGTATTGCCCTATATGTATCATGAAAACCCTAGAATAAACTTTTTGTTTGATAATGTTTAACAAATAAAATGATTAGATTCATTATATTTTTTACACTTACATATTTGGAATAAATCATGTTTGTTGAATAATTGTATCGATCCATTTAACAATCCACTGTCCAGATAAAAAATGCAAAGATTTACTCTGACTAAATCAGGCAAGTTGTTGTTACAGGAGTAATCTCTTTTGGCAAAGGCTACTATGTATGAAAGTAAAAGAAAACGTGTCTAGGAATATACAGACTCGAGTTCTAGTTCCAGCTCTGTGATTAATTTTCTTTAATATTTAACATGCATTGCACTGGTTTATCACCTATGAAAATGCAGATATTAAAATTTCTCCCCCCAAAAATCATATTGGAAAGGGTTTGAAAAAAAAAAAAGTACTTGAATAAATAAAAAGTAACATTAGCTTCTGATTTCATACCCAAAAAGGAATTGGGTTTAGTGGTATGAAGGAAAAGACTGAGAAGAAAACTCCCAGAACACTAGATCCTTTGCTTTATTTTCTGCTTCGGACTAAGAACCTCACCCTTTAGGAGAGGAGCTGACCCACTGACAATTAAGCAGCCACCCAATGAACTTGACCACAATGACACCTGTAAACAGCAACTTAGTGGCTTTTAGTTTATTCATAGTTATAAAACCACCTCTATTTCATCACTCTAAAAAGAAATATGTACCAATTAGTATTCACCCCCCAGCCTCCACCTCAGTTCTTAGCAACCACTAATCTACTTTTAGTTTCCACCGGTTTGCTTATGCTGGATATTTCAAGTAAATGGAATATGTGGCCTTTTGTGACTGGCTTCATTTAGCATAAATACTCTAACAATAGAATTTCCACCCCAAAATTACTCCTTAGAAATCGCAGATGCCATTTTTGGGACACCACATATATAGGCCTTTAAAGGAAAAAATATTTTTTCAATTTCTTTACATTGAAGAATTTTATAAGACAATATTCTGGAAACTGAATAGAGCCTAATTAATAACAACTCTATATGAGTACAAGAGGCATCTTTTTGCTTTTCCCACTGTTCAATAAAATTTTCAGTGGAAGTACTCTACGAAATATGAATGTTGGGAAAAAAAACAGTAATCTATGTTAACTTAGCTTAAAGTTATTTCACATATGCTTAAATGTTAATTAAATATGTACATATTACTATTTCATCTATTTCTCTAAAAGTTTATAATTCAAAATGAGCAAAATATTTGTGATTCAAAATTAATCTTCTCATTTAATAAACAAAGAAGATTGTTTTATATTCAGAATTGCTTTATATTTGGCATCATGAACTTCCAGGATCATTCTAGGCATGGTCAGATCTGATGATACTCAAAACCTAATATAACTAGGATTCAAATAAAAGTAGCTGAAAATCTAATTCTTGGCAAGTATTTCAAGACACAATTGAATTTTGGAAGTGTGTATCACATCAAGATTGAGTGAGATGATTTGAGAAAAACATCTCAGGGAACAAAGAAATCAGGTGTTGCTGCTAACTCCTTTTTTTAACCGATGAAATGAATGAGGTTCAAAGTGCTAACTAAGGCAGATACTGAGGAATGGGGGCTTAGGGAGTCAAGTGCTCAGAAGCATTTTGCTAAACAAGTTTTCAGTGCCTCTATCAGAGCCCTTTCCTAGGATTCACATGATTGAAAAAACATTTAGCCAGGTTTGGAATTTTTAACTTAACTTACATGGAAGAGAATAACATTAGAAATTAGCAAAATCACTGACAAAATAAGGAAAGGATGTGCAAAGAGAGTAGGTCTGAAATTGTTTTGAAGTTTATAAATATGTTTTATAAAAAGCATAATTATCCAAATGAAATAAGTATTACCTGGTTAATTCTCTCAGTCGAGTCACCTCAGCATCACGCTGACGTAATGTTATTCCCAATATTTGGTTTTCCTTTTCAGTAGCTTCTAACTTAAATTGCATGCTTTTCACATTGACTAAGGCTTCTTCCAATTCTAAAGCAACAAAAAAGTTTCAGCTGCTTTATTCCTTTTAAAAAAAATGCAACCAAGGCTACAATTCAAATACATACCAATTTTCATTCTAGTTGTTTCAATGTCAAATTGCTGTTTATTTTCAAGTAAAGCTTGATCTTTTTCTTTAAATATGCCAGCAAATTTTTTGTTTTCATCTTTCTGATTTTCAATCACTTTTAAGAGCTCTTCATTTTTATTCTGTAGTAACTCTTGGCTCCTTAGTAACTCCTGTAATTGACTTTGCAGTGACTTGTTTAATGACTGAAGAGAAAACACTAAAAGACAAAACAAGACAGATTGTGGAGTCCCCAATTTAAGATGTATAAACTTGGAAAAGATTTTTTTAAATAAAAAGGTCAGGAATTTATTGATCTTGTTTAACAAGGATATGTTTAAGCAATTCTGTATTAAGTGTATTTTTAGAAATTAATTGGCAGGAGATATATTTTTCTTCTTCAATTAGTATTTTGGGCATTATTTTTCTAACTTTTTTTTTTTACCTTTAACCTTTTATAATGAAAGACTACATGTACAAACTAGAAAAAAATGAACACTACAAAATACTAATGACCAAATAGTTCTCAATAATCAGTCTACCTCCCATCCCACTCCACTACCCCGCACTCCTCAAAAGCAGACATATTTTATGAAGTTTTTGCTTTTGTAGCATCTGAGCTGAGTTTTTATCAGGCTTAGAAAATGTTCCCAAGATTCCAAAAAAAAACCACCCAGTTTTTTCTTTAGTACTATTAGTTTTTCTTTTCTTTAACCTCTGTGATCCATACAGGTTAACTTATTGCAACGTATGAACCCCCGATCCAGCAAGTTACTGCTTGAATCTACAAAAATGTTCACACATGTGCAGAGAAATTTGTAAAAGGATTTACACTGCAGCTTTCTTTATATTGGGGAAAAATGGGATACTATCTAGGCATATACCAGCAGAGGACTTTAAATACATTATGGTAGAATGAGAATAAATAGAAATGTTCAAGTAATTCTTAAATAGATGTAAATTTATTTATGTATTCTTATAGAGAAAAATGTCCTCTACATGCTAAATGAATATAAGCTGCAGAAGAGTATATAAAATGTAATCATATATTTAAAAACAAAAAACGTACATATATATTTTTAGTAGTGCCTTCATATAGTATGTACTCAATAAGTTGATCATACATGAATACAAGATATGTGTAAGGAAATACAAGCTTTAAAAAAAGTCATGGTGGGCCCTCCCTGGTGGCGCAGCGGGTTAAAGCACAGCACTGAGAATCTAAAGCCGCTTCCGCATGAGTTCGATTCCCG